GGGTAGAGGGTGTGGGGGCGTGGGGGGTGGGGGTGGGGTGGGGGGGGGTGGCCAGGGGGGGGGGCAGCCAGTGGTGGGTTCAGCTGACAGGGAGGCACAGCAGGGGGACGAAAGAGCTTCATTTATCTGGGAGCCTGAAATGACTCTTGATTTAAATCATATTGTAAACATCCAAATAAGAAGAAAGAATATTATTAGCAAGAAGAAGAAGAAGAAGAAGAAGAAGAAGAAGAAGAAGAAGAAGAAGAAGACGACCAACCCTCACCTGTTTTTGGAAATGGTTCAAGGGGAAACACATCCACATGAGAGAGGAGGAGGGAGGGGGAGAGACAGAGAGGGAGAGACAGAGACAGAACACGGAGGAGTGCAACTTTTTACAACGGTAGGATGTGTTTTACAGGCAGTAAAGCACTTTCCGAAGCTGTCATAACTTTGAAAAGCCATTAAGCAAGGACTTTTCCTGTACAAGGTTTGTTATAGCCACTATTTTTTGGTCTCCCATACTTGGAATTCAGAATCCCTGCAGTTGCCATCTACACCTTGAATTTTTCAACTGTATTTTCGGTTTTTGTGCTGCACCTGATGCAGGAAAGTGAGGAATCTGAGACCTGAGTTCTCTTTTGTGCCCTTTTGATTGCTCATAGCAACGATATTGCTCAATGGGAAGGAGTTGCTTGGTTTTCCCTGGAGGACTTTTTCTGTGATTTGTTTTTAATTGCTCAGACTGGGGCTATTTCCTACAGACCACCAAAAGAGCAGCTTGCTCTGAATCGCTTCGTGTTCAGCCTTTGGGTTCATCCCATGCAGCCCCTGTCTCTCCACAGGCTTGAATCCCCGATGTAATGAAAAACAGTTCCTTTTTCTTGGTAGCATCCCTCACACCTCCATGCTGGTAGTTGTTCCTATGAACGTTGTGGTTTGTGCTGAATTAAGTGGAGTTGCACTAAGTAGCACTAAGAGGTGGAGTGCAAGGCTTGAGGAGATTCAAAGGGTCTCTTTTTTCAGCTTCAGACAAGCAGGTGGGCTTTGGTGGTTGGAATCTTCCAGTCTTAGGTAGCTGCCATACCTGTTGAATCCTTTATGAGAAATGTTAGACTATGGCTAGTAGGGAGCGGCAGATGAGTTTTGTCTCCATATCTGACAAAACTGAGATGGGAAACAGTTTGGCTCAAACATTTGTTTATTTATTATTCCAATTTATGTAGCTGCTCATCTCATATATATGATCAGAATACAACAATTAAAAATGATAAGAAACAGTACAAAAGCATATTAAAAAATCATCATAAAATAAAATAATATTCATAGCCGAGGTAATCATATCGCTACAACCACTGCAATGTCACAAGTCTTTTCCTATCATTCATTCAATAATTCATTTTTTCTCTTTTACACACCTGCACACTACAGAAGGAAGAGCAATAAAGATCCTCTTTCTCATGGTCCCTCCACCCTCATCACACGGAGTCTCTTCAACAAGGCATATCCCTGCTAACTTGCATGTGCTTCCTGTTGTGGCCTCTCATCGCGTCTCTTCCGTTTTGGAGTTGGAGTCTGGTCACACTTCTTTTATCCTGTGGCTAAAATCCTTTTCCTGTGACTCCTGTCTCTGATCATTGGCCCTGTGCATTCCCCTCAGAGCCGCATGACATCGGGATATTGGTTGTGAGCTGCAGCGAGGGTCTTCCTGATGGATGGCCCGGTTACTCTTTGCGTAGAAAATGCTGTAATCATATTTATTTGATCAGTGCAATGGGTGCTATTCATGCCATTTGACAAAGGATTGATAATTGAAAAATGGGAATTGTATATGGAACCAAGCTCGTGTTAAAACTGCAGTGGCCATTTTCACTCTCATCTTCCTCTCTTCCCCACAAGATGCACTTCAGGGGTGAGAAAAGCCAGGCCCTGTACTTAGGCAAGAAAAACCAAATGCACAGGTGTAGAATAGGTGGTACCTGGCTCAACAGGAATCACTGTACGACAGATCTAGATGTCCTACAACAGTGGCGGGGGGAGGGGTGATTTTGTGCTCGCAACCTATCCCACGTATGTGCGAATCGAGCTTCACACATTTGCCCACTGCTTGCACAGCCCACTTCCCAAAGGGCCGTGGACCGGGACTTGGGGACCCCTATCCTAGTGGACATAATCCAAAAAGACTGCCAAAAAAGCCAATGCAGTCCTAGGCTGCATCAACAGAGGGATAGCATCAAGATCACAGGACGTGTTAGTACCGCTTTATAATGCTTTGGCAAGACCTCACATGGACTATTGCATCTGATTTTGAGGTCCTAGAAAGAGTGCAGAGAAGAACAACAAAGATGTTAAGGGATGTGGAAGCTAAACTGTGTTATGAGTGGTTAAGGATCCTAGATATGATAAAGAGAAGGAAGAAGAGAAAACCTGGGGCTATTGTAATAGCTGCCTTCAGGTACTTGAGGGGCTGTTACAGAGAAACACCTGGGGCCAGGACAAGGAGCAACAGGTGGAAGCTCTTTAAAGAGAGAGCCAAGCTAGAGGGAAAGAGAAATGTTTTGCCAGCAAGAACAACTAATCAGTGGAACACCTTGCCTCCCAGAGTTGTAGGTGCGCCATTGCGGGACCACCGTTTGTCCAGGATGCAATAAGGAGTCCTGCCTTGGGCAGAGGGCTGGAGAGGCAGACTTCCAAGGTCCCTTCCAGCCTTATGTTTCCCTTTTCTGAACCTCATTGTCTTAACAGGTGGCTATTCTAATCTTACGTGAAATGATTCTCCTACATCAAATTTAGCTCAAATTAGTCTGGTAATTTATATCTTGGAGAGTTGCTAGATGCATCCAAGAATTATGTCAAGATGAATTCTTGGAATTCTGTGTGTTCATTCCCATGCAGCTAGGATCAGTACTAATAGCAGATTCCTCTTGGATAGGGAGCAACCTATTTGTGTAGGCGGAGGCTTATGGCCTGCATGTTCCTGCCTTACAGGGCCCAGGTAAACTGTGGAGAGCAGGTTGATACTTTACTCTAAGCCAGGGAGGCATAAAGTATAAGCAGAATATAAATATAAGAAATAAAGATTATCTACTCTACCTTTATTTAAAGACTACTGTAAACTAACAATTCTATCAGCTTGCTGACAAGATTGGCTTGTGTAACTATAGTAACTGTCAGCTTTGCCTCTGTACCCTCCAAGTGCAGATCCCACTTGCTCTGAGTAGCTGTTGGAGGCCCAGGGCGTCTTTCTGATCCTGATTTCTTTGGGTCTTGCTGTCCAGCTTCCTCTCTTGCCGTCTCTCTCCAAAGCACGCCTTTCCTAGAAGATGGCTGAAGTTATCGGTTGGCTGCCAGGAGTGTAAAACAAGGCAACTTGTTAGTTAAGATGGTGTGTTGAATGGCCGGGTTATGAGCAAGGAGGAACCCTCCCGAAACCATATTTCAGTTGTAAAAGGTGTTACCATCTTTCATTAAGTCTGAAAGGAGATTGGACTTTCTGCTGTTAAAAAAATTGTAGCGTTTGGGCACACATTTTGGGAAAGTACGAGATCAATCAAGTGCTCTAAATTCAGAACTTTTTATTTCTTAGAAAAAGGGCAAAGTAAGAAAAAGAGCCAATTTAGTCTAGTGCCCCCCCCCCCCAAACCAGGCAAAAACCAGGAGCCGGGGAGCTCTAGCCCCACCTTAGGCATGAAAGCCAGCTGGGTGATTTTGGGTCAGACAGTCATTCTCAGCCCAATCCATCTCAAAGGCTTGTTTTTGTGGGGACAATAGATGGAGGAAGGAGTATTAGGTTCGTTTCATGCTTGTGTTGTTTATAAAAATAATAAAAGGCAAAATACATATAAATATATGTATAAAGAGGCCATGCCTGCACTTTTACAGGAATCATAGGGATAGACATTTAGACATTTTTTTAGACATTTTATTAAGATTTATAGGCCGCCCTTTTCCCTGAGGGGACTCAGGGCGGCTTACAATCACAGGGAAGGG